GCCTATAAATAGAACATCATCATCATCATCGTCATCAGCATCATCGTCATCAGCATCATCATCTGATATCATCAGGTGGATGTGCATTCGATCGCTCCGTCAATCTTTTCTAGAATATCTCAAGTAATTTACGTCGCTAAACTCGGTTGGTCGATCTTTATTATTATTATTATTGTTGTTGTTGTTGTTGTTGTTGTTGTTGTTGTTGTTGTTGTTGTTGTTGTATTATGGCCATCATCACAACAATCACCATCATAACTTGCCAACTTACAGGACGATTCGAACAGACACCAAACAACAACAACACTCTCTACCTAATTCTCGGCCTAATCTTGGGCTTTCTTCTCTTACTTCTCCTCTGTCTTCTCTGCCTAATTTTGGCCCTAATCTTCTGGAAGCGGAAGAAGAAACGTCAAAAAGTGGACCCCAACAACAAAGAAACAGTAATTCAGCCCAACAACAAAAATACAATAATTCCGACGATATCATCAACAACATTACCAACACTAACACAGTCAGGCAAATTCGCGACAAATCATGGCTACTTTGAAGATGACGGCCATTTATTGGATGAGCTTAACTGACGTCCTCTATGAGTACATGTTCCTGCCTAATGATTCGGTGCAAAGTCCGAAAAATATGAGCTCCTTAGTTTCAAGACCCCAGCCGCCATTACCCGTATCATCATCATCATCACCGCCAACAACATCATCACCATCATCATCATCACCGCCAGCAACATCATCGTTATCAGTATCAACATCTGATTCATCATCACCATTACAACCTGTAGCAGCATCGTTATCAGCACCGCAGCCAACAAAATCATCATCACCATCATCATCATCGAAACTCAACAGCAACAAAAGTGACGACAACAGGATCACGTGCCCTCCTCACAACAACAACGACGCATCAAAACTTGAGAAAAATGATTTTGAGATGACGCGTGAGTGGAGGCCATTTTTTAAAATTTCCCTGACGCCAAAATTATTTCCCGTTAAATTTAATTTTTATAACTTGAAACAGTCGAAATCGAATTTATAATTAAATCGTTTCTATTTTTAGCTACTCCGTCCGGGTCGTCATCATCACGATCAGATAGAAGCCTATCAGATCAAAGCGCCCCTAGCGATGACGTCATTACGAGTCTTTCAAGTTCTGCAAATCTATTAGCTGTCGGACCAGAAAGAGGCGTGAAAGCCGGACCAATAGGAAGAAATATCTTAATGAGCCCTCCAAAACTGCACACGCAACCTAGGGGTTTTGCCCCTGCGTCTCATAACGTTCCGGCGGCCGTCAAAAACACGTGGGGTCGAAGCAAAATAAAAGATTCAAAATCGTTCAAGGCAGCAAAAGAACTAGATATCAGTGATAACGACGTCGGAAGTAAACTGAAAGAAAGTAAATCATTCAAGATAACGAAGGATCGAGATGGTGATGGAAGTAACGATGGTGGCAGTAGTTTTAGCGGGAATCTACTTTACTAAAAATTGTAATTTATTGTCATATATTTATTTTGAAGCGAGTAGTAGAACTGCTATTGTAAACGTGATTTTGATTGTTTGTTTGTCTGTGTCTGTCTGTCTGTCTGTCTGTCAGTCTGTCTGTCTGTGTATTCGCGTTCACAATTTTACAAAATAATGTTCTTGAGCATTTTCAGTTTTGTTACATCGTTCTCTTTTATTTGTCTTTCAAATTGAATGTTTATTTATTTCGAACTAAAAAGCTCTTTTGAAATGTTTAATTGAAAATCATTGTGTAGCGTGTAGTCTGGTGACATTGGATTGGTCGATTGACCGATTGGTTGATTGATATATAGGCTGGTTGATTGGTTGACTGATTAACTAACTGATTGATAGATGGATAGTAACCTATATACCAATTTAATAACAATTTCTCATATTTATTATATTTTTTAATTTTATTATTTGTGAGCGCTGACAGTAAAAATATTATAAATAAAAATGTAAAAATAATAAAAATAGAATTAAAAGGTACTTATTCCTAATAACACACAAACCACACACAACACATTCTTTGATGGTAAGAACTACAACACATCCCTACAAAATACAACACTGTCTAAAATACCAAGTCTTTATACGCATATACTTGAGATAAATGTTGTATTTGAGACATTTATTTAATCTGCAAAGCCAATCAGCCAAATTGGACCATTTAGTCTTGATCAAGGGGAGGCCTATTTACCAGCATACAACACCTTATGGGTTGAAGCAGGGATATGCAAAGAGCCTCAATTTTTTCAACTTTTAATTATTTTCAGTAATGTCTTCCCTTGCTCCAAACCACATAACTAGAATAATAGGACTAATCGATCAATTCGATCTATCGGTCGGGCTATTTGTCGTGCTTGGATTGTTGGCTTACGAAATTGCATGGATTTTAACGAGCAAGCTAAATGAAATATTTACTTGATTTAATATGCTTAAAACATTGTAGTAATTCTATTTAATTTTAATAATGATTAAATTATTTTTGTTAATTTGAATATAAAAATTGCTTTTGGTCCGGTGAAATCCGGTGGCTTACTGAAGCCGAAGGTTGGCTTAGTAGGATTGAACTATAGTCACCCTTTTTTTACACTATTCGATCATGTTAAAAATTGGTTTGCTTATGAAATAAACGGCCTAAATAAATCAAAATTACTATTTGAACAACTATCTTCATTATATTCAATGAATATTTTACGTTCTGCTGGTGCTCATAAGAAACTGGCTGCTGCAATCATACGTTGGTTTACAGCAGTGGCTTACAGGGTTTCATAGAACTCTTACGATAGCACTTTTTTGTACATATAATGCTTTAAATAAATCAATATATTCATATCACAATTATTTTTGTCAGTATAAATATAGAAATTGCTTTTGTCAGGTGAAAAACAGTGGCTTACTGAAGCCGTAGGTTGGCTTAATCGGATTTTGTCTCATGTATACAATACTATGAGATAAATCAATCAAACAATCAGTCAGTCGGTCGGTCGGTCAGTCAGTCAGACAGCCAGCCAGCCAGCCAGTCAGTCAGTCAGTCTGTCTGTCAATCAATCAACCAACCGATCAATCAACCGATCAATCAATCAACTAAATTGAATGAACCAAATAAACAAAAATAAATAAAAAAAATTTGCAAGGCCTGTTCAAACTCGAACAAACAGTTAACCGTACAGATCTACAAACAATTTCGAGATTTTAGTAAAGAAAGAAAAACACAGTAGTTGCTTTTATTTGAATTCATTCAAAAATGAAAAGTGACGGTTAATTAAAATTTTAAAATGTCAATTTTTTTTTTAAATTCCTATTTCAAATAAACAAATATAACAAAATATCGACCGATAAAAATAATTATTATCCATTATTATTATTATCATACACACTCCTCAGAAGTTCTCGAAGGATAATAAACCACGTAACATGAACATTTAGTAAGAACAGTTCACAACATATCATAATGACTAAATCAACATAAACAGAAATAATTTATACATGCATATATACAAAGTAAATCAAGAAATATCCAAAAATTATATAACCAATTTTAAAAAAAAACTAGAAACCAGTCAACATTTAATGAATAAATAAATAGACATCATTAAAAAGATTGTTCAGAAAGGTACAATTTAAGGCGACGACGAGAATGAAATGTAGTTTTGTTGATGTGGTGTTGTGAAGCGAAAACAAACACATCACACAAAACTAGTAAGAAGTCGCAAGAATAAGTCAGTCACCTACCTATAATAAAATTACTCTCAGGGCCCTAGCTTACTTATAAACATTGACTCAACTCACTTACCTACAAATTTGTATTTCTCGTTTTAGATGTTTCAAGTATTTTATTTAACATATTTTAGCGTTTTTATTTTACTTGAAGCTTTTTAACTAATGTTAAGCCTTAGCCTACCTACAGTTGTTTAACTCATCTCAGTCCCTAACTTACCTATGAATTAAATTAAAGTCCGGTTCACGGTAAAGAAAATATAGAGTTGAAGAGAAACATAGCAACAACGACACCGAATGAATGGATGTTGTGTATGTATGTGTTGTATTGATGTGTGTGTGTATGTAAATGTGCGGGCGCGCACTCTCCAGAAACTTCACTCACTACCGACGAACCTCCATTGCACCGACCATCATCTGACACGCATCGATGGAATGAATTTGACCGGATACTGAAAAATAAATTGAAAAAAAGTTAATTCACTAAAATAAAAAACAAGCAATTGGAAAAAATAGGCAACTTATCTTTTTGAGATAACACTCAATCTTTGTTCAAATTCGAGTACTTTCAAAGGTACAATGAGACAAAAACAAATTTACCTTTAACGTTATCTTCGATTTGTCATCGGAACGATCATCATGAGACCACCTTCTGAAACGTGCTGACGCCCACCACAGCCCACCTCTCATCATTCTGTAGACAAGTTTTTATTAATTAGCAAAGTAGTAAATCAAGAAACAAAGGAACGAACGAATAAATGATTAACTGAATGATTGAACGATTGGTTGAATGAATAAATTAACTAATTAATTAATCAACCAATGATTTAATGAATGAATAGAATGAATCAATGAATAAATTAACTGAGGAATAATTTGAAAAATAGTGATAAAATGAATGAATCAATGAATGAGAAAAATAAAAAAAAGAAACTAAATCATACTTTAAAAACCGTCGTTGTTGTTATCTTCGAATTGTCATCGGAACGATCATCATGAAACCTCCATCTGAAACGTGCTGATGCCCACCACAGCCCACCTCTCATCATTCTGTAAACATTTTTTTAATAGCGTATTAGTAAATCAAGGTCGAATAAATGATTAACTGAATAATTGAATAATTGGTTGAACGAATGAGTGAATGAATGAATTAATTAATAAATCAATGATTCAATTAATGAATAGAATGAATTAACGAATCAATTAATAGAAGAATAATTTAAAAGGTTGAGTGATAAAATGAACGAATGAGAAAAATAAAAAACGAAACTAAACCTTACTTCAAAAATCGTCGTTACTGTACTTTACATTGCACCGACCACCACCATCTGGTCGGCACACAAAATACCATCCGAACTTCAGAGTGTCAGTCGAACAGCCAACGAGCTGATTCTTCCTACACCACCATCATCATATGTAAATCATCATGAGACCACCATCTAAAACGTGCTGACTCCCACCACTGCCCACCTCACATCATTCTGTAAACAAAATGTTTTTATTTGCGTAGTAGTAAATGAATGTTAGAATCTTAGAAGCAAAAAAAATTAAATTATAAAATGAAAATAATGTCAAATAAATAAAATTTTAAAATAATAAAGCAAGTAAAATGTAAAAAAAACTTACCGTCGTCCATTCGACAAAAGCAGAATGTTGAATGCGGTCCGGTTCCTACGTTGTCCTCCAAAACTGGTGCCAATCCTCCTCGAGATTGTTGTTGAAACACAGCCCGTGTTGATGGAGAAAGATAGAGAAAGAGTAGATTCTCATCAGAAAGCTTAGCGGTGCCTGCATCTCAAATTGCTTAATAAAAATAATCCTATCTACCTATTCAATTACCTTAACTAATCTATATTAAATTGTTAATGGTACGATAGTCGAAAGTCCCCCTTCATTCTTCCTCCTTGCACAGAGGTTCACCGACAGCCAGGGCACTGGATAGAAAACCATTGCCGTGCGGATAGTAGACTATTGTCGTGCGGATAGTAAACCATTTGCCGTCCGGAAGCCGTGCGGGTAGTAGACTATGGCCGTGCCGCATGGTAAATCATTACCGTGCAGATAGTAAACCATTGCCGTCCGGATAGTAAACCATTGCCGGTTCACCACTGGCCACCAAGGCTTACCTCTGACAACAGACTTCAAAATTCAGAGTCTATCGGCTATCGTACCCTCAACTTACCTATTAATTACAATTGAGCCCTAGCTTACCTAAAATTACAAAAAAACTCAAGAGCCCAATTCATTTGCCAATCGGCACCCACCCCACCACCTACGTAATGCCTTGGGCTCCAACTTAGTAATAATATAAAACTTAAACCCTAAATCTATTAATGAGTGTGTGTTACAACGTAGCCTTAACTTACCTATTCATTACATAATGGCCCTAGCTTACCTAAAATTACAAAACTCAAGAGCCCAATTCATTGGCCTTTCGGCACCCACCCCACCACCTACGTAATGCCTTGGGCTCCAACCTAATAATAATAATGTAAAACTTAATAACTAACTTACCTCTCGATACACTTACAGCGTTTATTTAATTTAAATTACAAGATTGTTCCTAGAATTAAATTATTGCTTTTAACTACCTATGAAATTAAATTACTCTCAACCTTAGTAATAATAAATTAAAATGTGTAATGAAAATAAAATAACGCTCAAATACTAATATGTGTTTAAGTATGTATTTGTGTGTGTGTGTGTGTATAATACGCTGATGCGTGTAATGCGGGTGCGAGAAAAAATAGAAGCGA